GAGGAGATTGGACGGTCTCCCAACGATCGTCTTCTAGGGCATATGTCCGAAGTAGTCACTATTGTCCAAAGGGGAGGAATGTCCGTTCTGATTGTTGTGTGGACTATGACTGCTCAAAGGCTCGGGAAGACGCCTGTTGAAGTTGGGACCCTTCTTCAGTTGCGAAAGGATGGCCTTTCTTTCGAGGGTGAGGGATTAGAGGAGACAGGTGAGGACTTTGTTTCTTACACTACTTTTGAATGGTGTCAAATTTTTGGGCACGTAGCTTGAATCATGCCCTTAAGTACTTCTTTTGTAGCTGTCAGAGCACTGACGATTGCTTCCATCTCATCAGACACCGACGCTGACCCTGAGGGTGATGCAACCACTATTGATCAAGTTGCGAAGGAGATCCAACTACATCCAAACCACATGGAAGGTCCAAGGAGATCATGCATGACTTTGACTCATGCCTTGCTAGGGTGGTAGAGGCAATGAATGACATGGAGACCCAAATAGAGGATCTTGGCTAAAAGGTTGATGGACTCGAGGAGGAGGACTTCACAATTCATTCGACGATCAGAGGTATGATGCTATAATTGGAGTCCTTAAGGAACCAAATGACTAAAACGTGGAACGACTTGATGGGGGAGCTCCAGTAGGTACAAAGAGCCCATGAAGATGAGATAAGTGATGTACGTGCTAGCTTAGAGGAGATGCATGGAGAAATTTTGCTATGCAAGAGGGCATTTGCGACATCCATCAACAATCATACGTTCAAATCCAAACACATCGAATTACCAAAACCTAAGAGTTTTGGAGTCCTTAAAGAACCAAATGACTAAGACGTGGAACGACTTGATGGGGGAGCTCCAGGAGGTACAAAAAGCCCATGAAGATGAGATAAACGATGTACGTGCTAGCTTAGAGGAGATGCATGGAGAAATTTTGCTATGCAAGAGGGCATTTGCGACATCCATCAACAATCATGCGTTCAAATCCAAACACATCGAATTACCAAAACCTAAGAGTTTTGTGGGAGCTCACAACGCAGAGGAAGCAAACAACTTTCTATGGAGACTCGAACAATACTTTGGAGTCGTGGGGGTTACAGATGAAGAGGCAAGAATACAATTTGCAACTCTTTATCTTTCATACATCACTTTGTTGTGGTGGAAAAGGAGACGTGGAGACATTGAGAAGATATGTGTATCATATCCACCTTTGATGACTTTAAAAGGGAGCTAAAGAGGCAATTCTACCCCGAGAGCGTGGAGGATGAGGTTAGACCTGATTGCAAAGGCTTAAGAAAATATGATCAATTCAGGAATATATTATGAAGTTTACTAGCCTGATCCTTGAAATTCCTGACATGTGTGACAATGATGCTCAATTAAACTTTATGGATGGACTCCAATAATGGGCAAAGTCTGACCTTAGGAGGACTGGAGTACAAGATCCTGCTACTGTCATCTTCGTCATGGAAATTTTAATTGACTATACAAAGAATTCTACAAAGCTAAGGGAAAAGAAGAGTAACTATGTCCAGAGTGAGGGAGACAAGGATTTACACAATGAAGAGACTCTTCACGAATCGACCTCATTCAAGGCAAAAGACAAATGGAAGTCTAAAAATCACAAAACCAAACTACATAACAAATGTTTTCTTTGTGGAGGACTCATTGAGCAAGGGATTTCCATCAGAAGAAGTCTTTAAACTCTCCCACTACAAGCTATCAGAAGGAATAAAGTGGTGATATGACGACACAAGTAGGGTCTATACAACTGTTGAATGGGATGCAAACTCCAATAAAACCCCAAGTAAAGGGGTTACTCTTTGTGGAGATGGTAATATGTGGGAAGACCACTCAAGCAAAGGGGGACACGAGAGCTTCTCACAACTTCATCTCTGTCGAAGAAGCAAAAATATTTGGTTTGTAGATGACTGAAGGAGGGGGCTCCATCAATGTAGTCAATTCAGCAATTAAGCCAATCCATGGAATAGCCAAAGGAGTAAATAACAATTTTGGAGCGTGGTCAGGTTGGTCGGGTACCTTAGACTTCTCTTTCATTCCAATGGATGATTTTAAAGTTATTCCATGGATAAACTTATTGGATTAAGTAAGAGCGTTCCTGATACACTTCTCTAATAGCATGTGTGTTATGGAAGGGAATCAAGCTTGCTTAGTACCAATAAGAAAGGCTAACAAGCAAGAAGTCAAAATGCTATGTTGTCAATCATCTAATTCAAGGAGGGCACTCCATGATATGAGGAGAGCTACTTGGCTATTCTTCACAACTACAATGAAGAATTGAAGTCCCAAGAAGATAGGCCTAGGGAAGTGGTGGCAATGCTTGAGGAATATAAAGGTGTTTTACCATCCAAATTACTAAAAGAACTATCACAAAAGAGGAAATTAGATCAATAGATCTAGTTGGAACCGGGGACTGAGCCGCTAGTCCTAAAACCTCATTCCATGGTACCCCTCTCCCCTACAACCAGGTATGAGAGAAAAAAAAAACAGTTTTCAAAGTTGCCAAATCTTGGAAGAAGCAAAGGGAGTTAGCTTGCATCACATTACATAAGGCTGCATGAAGAATGAAGAAGTAGACAGATAAGAAAATGAGACATAAAGAGACGAGAAAGAAAGAGCTGATGGTATTTGGTGGAAGGCACAATGAGGGCATCACGAGCTTATGTGGGGAAGAGTGTCACACACCTCAATCTCAAGAAAAGGGTTAACCACATCCTTTTTGCTATAAGAAGGAATATTCTAGAAAAAACTAGATAGAAGGAGAATAATCCAAGAGACTCTAGAAGGATCCACCACATTTCGGAGAATGTTGGAAGGAAAAAGTTTCAAGAAGAACTCAAGAATAGCTTAGAAAAGGTCTAGGATCATGTATATATATAAAATAACAATGTAAAACTATCAAGAAATTATTTTTTCTTCTAATGTAATCTAGGAAGTTCCTAAGGCTTAGGAGAGGACTCTAAATAGAAGTGCCTCCCTCATTTGGATCCATCCAAGTTTCAAAATAATTCTAGTGTTGTAATCACTGTTTCTTAAGGAAATATTTCTTTCTCCAATATTTCTCCATATTCTTCTTTCAAGAGTGTTTTGTATTTACAAGTCCAAGCATTATGAGGGTTAGGCTGATTTAGTGTCAAGGAAGCGCGTAAAGCCCTAAGGGTGACTTAAGATAAGTTAGTTCGTGACACTATGCTCCTATGAAGGGATTTAAAATAAAAAATATATATATATATTTTTTGATATTTGGGGTGTTTTAATTTATTAAATTTAATAAAATATTATTTTGAGCTTGAATATGAGTTTGTACAAACAATACAATCAGACTAATTCGAGCTCATTTTGAAAATTTGAGCTCATTTCAAAAAAATAAATTGAGCTGCAATCAAATTGGAGTTCATTTCAAACAAATTGAGATAAAATAAAATTTAGGAACAAATTCGAATACCAACAAATTTCAAAAACAAATAATTTCAAATGAGTAGAATACGAACAAGAGCAGGGCTCGCTCATGTTCGACTGTTTTACATCACAACTTGACGCTATTTGGTTAACCTAATTGAGGGTTTTTGGCCATACACTACGATACCTCTCTTAATATATAATTGAGTTCATCTCCGTCACACTAATGATCAAATTTATTAAATTTGATAAATCCTATATAACACATCAAACACTGCCTCAAGGTTTATAATATAAATGACTTTTTAAAATTTAAATAATCAAAAACCCTAAACTTCACAAATCTTCAAGAAGAACTCAAGAATAGCCTAGAAAAGATCTAGGATCATGAATATATATAAAATAACAATGTAGAACTATCAAGAAGTTAGTTTTTTTTCTAATGTAATCTAGGAAGTTCCTAAGGCTTAGGAGAGGACTCTAAATAGAAGTGCCTCCCTCATTTGGATCCATCCAAGTTTCAAAATAATTCAAGTGTTGTAATCACTGTTTCTTAAGGAAATATTTCTTTCTCCAATATTTCTCCATATTCTTCTTTCAAGAGTGTTTTGTATTTACAAGTCCAAGCATTATGAGGGTTAGGCTGATTTAGTGTCAAGGAAGCGCGTAAAGCCCTAAGGGTGACTTAAGATAAGTTAGTCCGTGACACTATGCTCCTATAAAGGGATTTAAAATAAAAAAATATATATTTTTGATATTTCGGGTGTTTTAATTTATTAAGTTTAATGAAATATTATTTTGAGCTTGAATATGAGTTTGTACAAACAATACAATCAGACTAATTCGAGCTCATTTTGAAAATTTGAGCTCATTTCAAAAAAATAAATTGAGCTGCAATCAAATTGGAGTTCATTTCAAACAAATTGAGATAAAATAAAATTTAGGAACAAATTCGAATACCAACAAATTTCAAAAACAAATAATTTCAAATGAGTAGAATACGAACAAGAGCAGGGCTCGCTCATGTTCGACTGTTTTACATCACAACTTGACGCTATTTGGTTAACCTAATTGAGGGTTTTTGGCCATACACTACGATACCTCTCTTAATATATAATTGAGTTCATCTCCGTCACACTAATGATCAAATTTATTAAATTTGATAAATCTTATTTAACACATCAAACACTGCCTTAAGGTTTATAATATAAATGACTTTTTTAAATTTAAATAATCAAAAACCCTAAACTTCACAAATATTAGTTAATTATAAAATAAGAATATCTTAATCCAAATTTCTTCCTGGAAGTGTATTTCATAGAAAATACTCAAAATCATCTCATTTTTCTCATCTAACTCGACTGCCCATTCTCTACAATTTCAGAATCATGTGAAGTCAAATTTTCCATAAAATTAATTGCTCTGCATAGAAATCATTAAAGAAAAAATAATAAGAAAACATGTTTGACCGTCGGATCCCGACGCATGCGGCGTGAGATCTGCGATAAGTTTTTTTTTTCTTTTTTTTTGGGGAAAATCTGCCGATAAGTTGTTCAGAGGTTTCTAATGAGCGGCTGTGTTCCGATAAATAGATAAGGTCTTCTTCACACTTCGTCCTTCATTCATCCATTAGATGTTGAAATCTGATAATTGATGAACGAGAAGGTATTTTTCTTGAGTTGCTCCTTTCAAACTAGGGTTCATCCGTTTGTTTGCATCTTTGGTTCGGATGTCTTCAACCATTTTCTGTGAAACTGTTTCTCTTTATTGAGTTCCTCCTTTCAAGCTACGGTTCATCCGTTGATTTGCATCTTTGGTTCGGATTTATAACTTTGTCTTCAACCATTTTCTGTGAAACTGTTTCTCTTTTATGGAGTTCAACAAATCAAGTTGATTTTGGTATCTTGTTATGTATTTTAATTAGTTTATAGCATCCGCTGTCTGTTAATCGGAAAGGGGTTTTCTGCGATTTTTTTTAATCATTTTTGTTTGGATTTTTTTGTGATGGTGAATGAATATTGGGGATCCGAGGTTTTGGTAGATGAATTATACTCGGCATATAAGAAGAAGAAGTGTGTTTTATTTTGTTTTCGACTTCGCTTCAAAAGGGGGTGCTTAAATTGAGATCTGCTTTTTCAGTTGCTTACCGAATCGACGACCTTTTTCCCTTATAGAATATTTGTATATTTTATATATGTTTTCTCTTTGAATTCCTTCTGTAGAAAAAGTTTTTTTTTCCTGATTGGCTTCCAGAATCTTGTTGTTTAATGTTTCAATAGCTGTTGATGTCAACTTCTTCGCAATTCCCTCCTACCCCCTCAGGTTGTTTTTTTTTTTCTATTATGTTTGTGCAGGGCTTGTGGAAATAAACAATATTAAAAAAAGGGCTTTACTTCTTTTTGCTATATTCTGTTCCGAATAAGCTGAAGTCTGCGAGGTGCCATGTCGTTCAATGGAGGTGAAGATTTTGACTACTCGGCGTACGAGGTTGATTTGGCTAATGCGATGGATGATGAGATGTTTGGGGATTCCTTTGGTAGAGATAGAGTTGAGGATAAAAATGATTATGAGCTGGTTAGATTGCTTTCAGCATGGCTGCTTCTGGGTTTTCATTTTTTTTTTTTTTTTTGAATTCATGCTTTAAGTTATGATGCAGAGTTATAATTTACTGATATTACTGTCTTTTTTTTCAATCAGCTCACTAGGGAGACAGATACATCCTCTGCACAAGCAAGAAAAGGGAAGGATATCCAAGGCATTCCATGGGACAAATTACATATAAGCCGGCAAGCTTATAGATGGACCAGAATAGAACAATACAAAAATTATGAGAATGTTCCATCTTCAGGGATTGACATGGACAAGGTTTTTTTTTTTTTTATCATTTACCATAGAATCTTTTTGGAGAAGGGTTATTTTAGTTTTTCATTATGCTATATCACTTGCAAAAACTTTTTTTGCACTTTCATTTATCTATTTATTTATTTGTTTTAGTAGAAATGCAAGCAGGCGGAGAAAGGCAGCAATTATTATGAGTTTCGGTTCAATACAAGAGTGGTGAAGCCAACAATTCATCATTTTCAGGTTTTTGATTTTTCACCAGATTTTCTTCATTCAGTAGAATGTTAGATGCTAGAAATTCATTGCTCTATTTAGAGGCATAGAAAATATATATGTATTTTTCTTGTCCACGCTTGAACGTTTCTTGATTTCATTTTAGTTGACTACCAACTTATTTTGTAGGTTTTGACTTTTATTGTGCTACAACACTGAGCCCACTAATGTTTATTTACTTGAAAAGAATGAGTTGGGTGGATTTGTCTGTCGTATGAATTTGGACATTTGGTTTACAATGCGGTTTTCAAAATTTTTATGTTCCTTTATTTGATTTCAAATTTCTAGAAGTTCACAACTTTGGATATCGAATTAGAATGATGGTTCTAACTACTATGATTATTCTCGAGATTAATGCGTTGAAATTCTACAATTGTTCTTTTGAAAATTTCTGTATTATGGCCATTTTCTGTGGATAATTTTTCTAGAATTTTATATATTTGTCAGGGCAGCTATGCGTTGCTCAATATTTTTTTCTTTCAACCTCCAATGTACTTTTGATCCCAAGTGTTTTTTTGATCCCTAACTTCATTGGTTTTTTTGGTGTATAACCTAATGCGATTGCTTTTTCTATTTGGTGTTTGATTCCAATATAATTGACAGGTTATTGAAGTTGCCTAAGAAATATGAAAAAAATGCATATTTTTTTTGCCAATTACCCACCATACTGAAAATTTGAAGAAAATTTATTGAATATAATTGTAACTTGCATGCCCTCTCCTTACATGAAATAAAAATACATTTTTTCCTTTCACAAGGATGAGCGTGAAAATTGATTTCAATTCAATTCATTTACTATTTTCCTTTCAATTCCCATTTCAATGTCCATGTCCTTTTCATTTCTCCACATTCAGTTCTTTCAAGTCATTCATTTCCTAAGTGAATTATTTAGGTTTTAGTGAAGAAATGCTCACTACTCTTTTCATCACAATTATTTTGCATTAAAAAAATTACAATATTTTTAATCAAGCGCAATTCTAGGCCTACTAGCAACTTTTCTAGTTTATCTTGTTGGTTGTTACTTGTGCAGATGAATATAAATACTCGATATATTTATTTAAAATGATTTAGATATGTCAAAGTAGACTATTGGAAAAAAAATCAAATGTAGTTTTTTGACGGGTTTTGTAGCTCCCCTCTTGTTCATTTTTCGCTGCGTTTGAAGTTGCCCAAAATTAGGTGAATTCTCTGCAAGAACATTACAACCATTGTGACATGATGTGAGACCAAGTGACTTTGCCAACCCCCACGAAACTTTCCTTCACAACTTCAACTTATTGCGACCCGCACTTTTGCAACTTCATCCGCAATTTTGTGCCTGCTTTTTATGATCTACATCAATGTCTGCCTTCATCTTATGAAGTTGTACCCCCTTCCCAAAAAAAAAAAGCAAATTTTATTGTTTTCTTCCTCTTTCTTTACAATCCCTCATTCTCGCAGTGTCAAACCTTTAGCATGCTCGTGGCTTGTTTTAATTTGTTTTTTTTTAGATTAATTTTTTAAATTTTTTGCTCAAATATAAAAAAACAATTCTTTGAGCTTCAAATACATGGCATTTAAACATCTCCTGAGTTTTATGTACTTGCAATCAAATTGCTCCTTGATGTGAATCTGCATCAAGATTTGAGATATGGTGCCTCCTTGAGTCTTTATATCCTGATACTGTCTACTCAACTTAAAAGCTTCAGAAGTACCAATGTTTTACACAAAGCAGAACTTGTTATTAATTCTTATTTTGTATTTGATATGAAATTACCATATTTTTTTATCATTAGCGGTGCACTTTTTTCTGAACATTTTGATTGTTTACTATTACAGCTGTGTGAAAGCCATAAGGTGACAAATGTGTGAAATTTTGTTTTTATGTATAACTACTACCTATTCTACATTAAAATGTTAACCTTGTCTTTTCTTTTCTAATTTTAGTGAGATGTTATTGAGCTACATAAGTTTGGGAACTTAAAATGTGTTAGGATATGCTTCTGATAAGTGGAAAGATAAGTTGCCAAATTAGCTAATTTAAAGTTGCTAATAGGTTGACGTACTCATGTCATTCGGGACGACAGACTGCTATATCAAGCCTGTTTATTTAATTTGTAACTAACCAGCCTGAGGTCTGTTTGCTGTTTATTAAAGTATCTGATCTTAGAACAATACAGGAGTTCTTTTAATAGCACCATCTTTTATTTCTGTAACTTCCTGACAGCGGTTTTAAACTTGATTTTATGCTTCTCTTATACTTTTTATCGTTGTTAACTAGCAATAAATTTGGTTTTTTTTTTTGAATTTTGTCCTGTTGATTTCATTGCAGAGCTTGTTATCTGCATAAAAAGATAAGTTTACTTTGTTCACTCTCATTTTTTGATCTTGCTGTTATATGTAAGAATTTCTGATGCCTTTCCCACAATATTAGTGCCTTGTTAGCTTTTTGTGAGCCTCTTTTTCCCAACCCCCATTTTTTGTCTTGTGAATGAAGGTCCCTGAAGCCATTAATGAGCTTTTACATACGCCATTAAAAATTTTCTTGCATCAATTATTTATAGTGCAGTGATTAATTCATAGCCTGTAAATTTTGTTGAACAAATTGAGTGGTTCTAGTGTATATAAAATATGTTTTAATTTATCTAATGAGTTTATGTTTAGCTATTGAAAATTTGGCGGCAATTTATTAATTCTGTGAATAAAAGTTCCTGAAAACCATTATATGAGCTTTTACAGATGTCAATTCACGTTTTTTGTTCTCTTATTCAACTAATACAGCCAGTTTTGTGCTTTCTTTTGTACATTACTAGTTATTGTCGAAGTATCGAAGTTACAGTAGCTTTTCTCCCCTATCGCCCTTTCAAATTTTTATTGCGTTTTAAAATGACACTTGTATTGTTGAGTCTTCTATAGTTCTCTTCACGTGCAAGTCATTCTACTAGCTACGATTGAGATATTTTCCTTGCTTGCAGTTGAGGAATTTGGTATGGGCTACTTCCAAGCACGACGTCTATTTTATGTCAAATTCCTCGGTTATTCATTGGTCTGCAACATCTTGCAATTTGTCGGAGGTCCTCAATTTTTCAGGACATGTTGCTCCGAAAGAGGTATAAATCATGATGATTTTGTTTTACAAAGTACCTAGTATGGAAAATATGTAAATTTATGCTACATTCTTCCTCCTTAAATAGCTAGTTTTTAAAGCTCGTTAAATTTACTGTTGTAGAAATACCCTGGTAGTTTGATGGAAGGATTTTCACGAACTCAAATTAGTACACTTGCAGTAAAGGACAATCTTCTAGTTGCAGGAGGTTTTCAAGGAGAGCTAACGTGCAAGGTTAGAGATTTTTATTTCTTTAGTGAGACTACAAAAGTTTTCTGGAAATGTGCATTATTATGGTGTTATTTCTTCTTCTTATTATTATTATTTTAATTTCTGCTTGTTAATGGCTAATTTAATTTCATGTTAATCTGAAAGTTATGGTGCTAATTTTTACTCTATTTATAGCTTGCAGCCAAAAGTAAGTAAATTAAGAAAGCGGTATTCCATGATTGTCTACAAAATCTTATTATATTACATGTTTAACACCCAAACGCTTCTTTATCCTACAAAATACTACTTTTAAAACTCCAGATAATCATGGTTAGTTTAATCTTAATGATGAACATGTAGAAACTATCGAACCTTCCATTTATTTAAACAGTGGGATCAAATATAATTTAATCGATAATCAATTACCTTACCTCTCACCAATTATTATGGCGATGGTCCATGTTAGGACCCCTAGTTCTATGACATTTAGTGATGACTTTAGATTTCAATGTGTCTGTTATAAGGAAAAAAGTCATATAGTAAGTATGCAAAATTCATTTGCTACTAGATTTTAATTTTTTAATAATTATTAAATATTTTTAATAAAAATTACAATGGAAATCATTTTGATGCTAATTTTAAGACTTTCTAATTCAAAATAAAGAATAGAAATTCAGAAGTTAGAAAATTACTTAACGAGTTAAATTTTGCCTTGTTTTGAAACTAGTTTGCACCGGTAAAACCAGTCACAAGATCAATACAATACAAAAAATTTGAGCAAGGAAAAGGTAGATAGAAATTCACCTAAAGCAAGTCTCTCATTTTCATAGGAGATAGCCTCTCTCAAAAATTTATTAAAATCCTCATTCAATTAAGGAGTTGACTCCTAGAAGTTGAAGGAGTAGAACTTCTAATTACAATTTTATTGACAGCTAAATTGACTGAGTTGTAAATACCTCAATCTTGTTTTTGTAATAAAAAGGTCCCTTCAAATTGCTCTATCAATTGATCAAACTAAAAAAAATTTGTTGCTACTCTGTTACCATTGATGCTAAGAAACCCTAGGTAGGTGCTGCGTGTTGCAGCAATAGACTGAAAATAAGCAAAACTGCCAGAGTCCAGCAAGGAATTCCACAATATCTCTTGCTCAAGACATAGTTGAGCCCCACTTTGTCACAAGAAATCTCAGAGCATGGAAAATTACTACCTTTGGAGAAGGATAATCTCGAGAACTACATCTGAAAAATATTCTGTTAAGAATACGGATAATTGACCAACATAATAAAAAGATTTTAGAAGAGGATGAGCAAGAACTACACAATCCAAGGGGCTACAGGAAGCTGCAGAAAATGGATTGAGATGTAAAGTATGTGTAGAAAGAAATTAATTCATTTTATTTAGAGATGGTTTTGTTGCTCATTGAGTTAATGTTAGTGTTAAGTGTTTTTTCTTTTTGAAGGATGCTAAAACTAAATTAACAAGAAATCAATTCACTCCAACACCAATTGATATGGTGAAATTTAAACCGAGTAATCTATCTATCAATATGCACAGAAATTTGTAGTGGTTTTGCTTCTTAATAAAGCCTACATCCACTCAGAATTAATGGGGGTTAATTAAAGCTAATTTCTTGTAGGTCAGCATTCAAGCAGGGAAAAAACCCTTGGCTTTCTTAACCATTGAGGTCAACTTTTAAAATAAGACGGGCCTAGGAAAATTCAGCTAAATCACAAGCTTCAAAAGAGAAGTGAATACTGCGAGGGAGATCTAAATACATTGTAATGGCAATTTAAATTTTTATATTATAAGATTGTAAAAAATTTTGATTACAAATAAACATGAACTTTAGAATAAAAAATAATCCTACTAAATGTAAAGGATAGGATGAGCTAGGACCCTTAAAGCTTCCCTTAGAGCTTTTAAAGAGGATTGCTTAGAGTTAGATGAGAAGCAATGTTTTGCAAGTGATAGAGCTTAAGATTATGTTGGGGCCTGATTATTTTTTATCAGGTTTTAGGGTGGTGTTTATAGAGGAAGCACGCTTTAACTGCCAAGTTTGTGAGAGCAAAGTTGCTTTCCGTTCCACTAACCAAGGTATCAATGAGTGCTCAGCCGATTTTTTTTAGGAATTTTGGAGCAACTATTTGTAATCTAGCATAAGCATCCCAATATTTGAACAAAAATACTTGTAACCTTTGTAAATCGAACTATCCACTATACATGAACATTTTTTAATTATTTTGTTCTTGTAAAATTTTTTAAGGATTAGTCAAGCAACTAATACGGCTTTAAGCCCATTTCCTTTTGCTTTAGTTATGGATACTCTTAATGGACATTTACAAGAGGATGTACCTTGGTGTATGCTTTTCGCTAATGATATCCTTCTTGTAGATAAAACCAATGAAAGAGTTAAGGAAAAACTTAAATTATGGAGGTCTACATTGGAGTTTAAAGGCCTTCATGTGAGTAGATCTAAAATTGAATACATGGAATGTAATTTAAATAGTAGTTGCTCTAGTGGCAGAGTTGTAACTATGGGTGATCCAATTATTAAAAGGTGTGATCTTTTTAGATATCTAGGGTTTATTGTTCAAAGTGATGGTGATATAAATGAGAATGCTATTAGTAGAATTCAAGTTGGTTGGTTTAAGTGGAGGAATGCACGGGTCTATTATGTGATAGAAAAGTACTGCTCAGACTGAACGAAAAATTTTGTAAGATGCTGGTGAGACCTGCAATGCACTATGGCGTAGAATGTTGGCCTTTAAAAGAGTGACATAAATAAAGTCAAGTGTTATCGAGATGAGAATGCTTAGGTGGATGGGTGGTTTCCACCTTTTTAGGGTTGGTGTAGCTCTAGTTATGGAAAAGATTAGAGATAGTTGTTTTAGATGGTTTGACTACATTAAACGTTGACCGTCTGATGATCTTTTAAGGAGTATAGAAGTTTTAGATTCCATTTATGTTAAGTAAGGCAAAGGCAGACCTAAAAAGACTTGGGCATATTCTATAAAAAATGATCTTATTATTTTAGAATTAAATGAAAATATGACATTCAGTAGGACACAATGGAGAAAAGGGATTCATGTAGCCGACCCACCTAGTGGGATAAAAGGCTTGTTGTTGTTGTTTTTGTAGTCAAGCAATCAATACAAATATGGAATTTAAAGAGATGGTTTGTAGGGCATCAAAAAAGTGATGACAATGTGAATATTTTGTAGAGAAATTATTTTTGGGGTAAATGGTAATTGTAATGATAAAAAAATGTGGTGCATGTTAGCACAATTGAAGTTACTCTTTGAGTATCGGTAATGCGGTCACCGTTTTTATATTATTTTTATAATTTATTCATTTCTATGAAATATTTTACATGGTATATTCATATTTAAGAAATTGTAAGACTTTCGAACCCGCATAGTTTGTGTTTTGTGCAGGTTATTGCATTTTGTTGGTCTAGCTACTTGTGTTTTATATTTTTGGCTTTAACATGCTCGATTTTATTCCTCGCTTCGGCATAGTTATTAAGAATTTTCTTTCTACTCCAAGTCTCTTTCTCTAATTAAGCTACTTGCGTTTTATATAACGATAACATATATGGATTTGATTTCAAATATCCAACAGTTTTTTGCCTTTATTGCTCCCAGGGAAAGGCAACAATGTGCTTCTTTGTCACTGTTAATATTTTGCATTTCAGAAGTTTTTTTAGTGATTTAAATCTAGGATAGTTAAGTTAGATTGATTACAAACTGATTAGTGATGTTTGATTTGGTGTGATATTCTTATCTTTGATGATCATGGAGGAGCACTTGGGCAATCTGTCACTCGTTATGGTCTCAAGAACTTGTATAATTAATTGTGGAAGGATGTATCTTCAATTATGATTTGAGCGATTTGTAAACATGTAATTTAAAATTTGAAAGAATGATGAGGCGGCCAGGTAAGGAGAAAGAGAGATTAGGTGAAGAAAATTAATGAAATTTTCCAAAATCCACTCCCAAAAATTCTTTATCTTATATATATATATATATATATATTTTCCAATCACCCTAGGGGAAATCCAAAGGAATATTCGCTTCATATTTAAATTATGGTTATCTTTATTTTGTTGCTTGAAGTATTGAGATGAGAATGTGCCTCGTCCATTAACTTAATTGAGATATATCATTATTCTATGGTATTAAAAGCTACAAAATAGGTATTCATGTAACCTTAGCGGATAAGAATTTTGGAATAAAGTTCTAAATTTCTTCTAAAATTATACTTATAAGTCACTTCTCCTCCTCTCCATTTTTGATCTAGGAGGTTCTCAAGAAAGAAATGCAAAATTGACTCTGGAAGAATAACTTTGCAAATATGAATCGAATAATGTTCTAAATTTCTTCCTCAAATTTTACTTGCTGGTTTTCTTCCTCCCTCCCTACACTGCCCCCTACTTCTGAGGTTAATTCCCATCTTGATCCTCTCTCTCTTTTTCCAGTGTCAAGCCACCAAAGTCTTGTTTTTTTTTTCTTGTCTTAGGTGACAGGCAATAGTGCCATTATTGGGTTTTAAATCCTGGATGTGAAAAGTGGTGGGTTGCGTTAAGTAATCGACAGCTAGCATAAAGTTTTTGTCGAAAATCATGACATGCTTAAAATTTATTTCACAAATTTTTTTTATCTTATACTGATCACCTTAGGAGAAATTCAAGAGAATATTCCCTTGATATAAGATTTCTTTGATTTAATTTAGATAATGATTTATTCATTAGCTTCATAGATTGTTACTACACTTCTAGGGTTTTAGAGGCTATATAACTAGGTTTTAACAAAATCTTAGAAAACACTAAATGATTTTGGAATAATGTTCTAAATTTCTTCCTCAAATTTTTCTTGCAAATCTTCTCCCTCTCCCTACACCACCCCCTACTTCTGAGTTCAATCCCCATCTTGAGCCTCTTTTTCCTTCCATTGTCTAGCCACCCCCGTTTTTTTTTTCCTTTATTGTCTTAGGTGACACTCAATACTACCATTCCAAGGCCCTATGTCTAAGATGCGAAAAATGTAGGGTTGTGTTAGGCAGCTATGGGTTGCGTTAGGCAGTCGATAGCTAACATAATTTTTTTGTCGAAAATCATGATGTGAAATAATCTTAATTTATTAGAATTAAATTAAAATATGACACAACAGAAAAAAGATTGATGTAGCCGAAGGCTTGCTGTTGCTGTTTTCTTAAAGGTCCTTAGATATTGATCGTCAAACTTCATGCTATAGGTTTGGAATGGGATAACTTTTTCAGAGGATAGTTTCATGGATTGCGCTGACCTGTTTGGATTCAACTTTATTTGTTGTGATGATATAACCTAGTGAAATCTTATATTTGATCTTCTTGAAGGTGATTAACACCTTTTCTTGCCCATGTAATACAAATATTATTTTTATTTACTAGTTAGTTACCCTTGGTGCAGGTAAAATGCATGTGGCAAATCAAAATATGCACTTCCATTTAGCATTTTATATGTTCTTTGATGCAATTTTAGAAAATGCTGAAATGCTTTTGATGTATTTATGGAGCAGCTCTTGGATAGGCCTGGGGTTAGCTTTTGCACCAGAACGACCTTTGATGACAATGCAATAACCAACTCCATTGATATATTCAAAGATCTTAGGTATTATTATTGAGAGAAGAATCCAAATAGCCCGCTGGCTTTTTCAAGGGGGGTCATTTTAGTCCCAAAGTATATAAAAGTGATAATTCAGTCTCCAAACTCTTAATATGAGCTGAAAAAGTCTCTACAGATGCCTATTTCAGCCCAAATTTTAAGAGTTGGGGAATAATTTGATATTTTTATAGATTCTGGAAAAAAATGACCACATGTAAACAGTCAGGAGACAACTTTAGCATTTTACTCTACTGTTATTATTTTCCTACAATTCTTAAATAGTATGGTTCATAAGAAAGTTCTAAATCTCTCATTCAAACCAAAAAATTCTTCCTCCAGTGGTACTGTCCGGTTTATGGCATCCAACAATGATAGCAGCGTTCGGGAATATGACACGGAGAGGTTTCAGCTCCTGAACCATTTTCGGTTTCCTTGGCCTGTAAATGTGAGTTCTATCTTCTACAACATTTGTGTGGTTTTCTAAAAAACTTCCATTTTTCTTAACTCTTTTTTTCATTAACTGACAGCATACATCCATAAGCCCAGACAGGAAGCTTGTTGCAGTTGTTGGCGACTGCTGCGATGGTTTGCTGGTGGATTCGCAGAACGGGAAGGTATATTTTGGAAGGATGATTTACACGCATACCGCTCAATTTTTTGTATTTACATATCTAACGCCTATATTTCAATTTATACATGCATGCCATCTTCCCAATGCATGAAAATGTGTATTCTACTTTTTAAAAGTTAAGGTGGTGATATTTTTGATGCGAAATGAAAGATTTGGGTGGTATAAATGTATTAAGTTAAAGTTTAGGTGTTAGATATGTAAATACATAACAATTGGGTGCATGTATGTAAATGCCTCCTTTTGGAACAGTAAAATCTCACTATATATGCTTTCAGATATTCAACCAAGCTCTGCATTTTATCCGAGAAGCTAATCACCATTTCCTGTTTCTGTTGTATATGCAGACTGTGGCAACCTTTTCCGGACACTTGGATTTCTCATTTGCCTCTGCCTGGCATCCCGACGGTCTGACCTTTGCGACGGGGAATCAGGATAGAACGTGCCGGGTATGGGATGTTCGAAACCTTTCATCATCGTTGGCTATTCTCAAAGGCAATCTGGGTGCGGTTCGGTCGATCAGGTACTCCTCGGACGGGCAGTTCATCATCATCGCAGAACCTGCAGACTTTGTTCACATCTATAGCACCAAAGCTGATTACAAGAGGAGGCAGGAGCTGGACTTCTTTGGGGAGATTTCAGGGGTCGCGCTGAGTCCAGATGATGAATCTTTGTTCATAGGAGTATGGGACAGGGTTTATGCCAGCTTATTACAGTACAGCATGCGGCACAAATTCGGTTATCTAACCGCATTTATGTAATGCTTATTGTATGTGTGCTGTTGTGTTATCGGCCAATGAGTGGCTAAGCTGCCTTTTGTTGTTGAATGAGCAAATGGGAGGGGTGATTGAAGAGGTCATAACTACGCTTGTATATAGGTGACTAAAGTGGAATGTTGGATTTTTATCTTTTGGTTAGTATGCCACTTTTTTCTATTAATTTCTCCTTGCAATTCTTTTTTTTTTCTTGAAAAAAAAAGGTCATGATATTCTAATATTAATTTTGTTAATTATTGATAAATGACTTCCTCTTTTTTAATTTGTTATATATTTTATAGTAAATGTATTTATTTTTTTTAAAGTTATTTGTAAATTGAAGGCATATAATGTGGGGCTTTTTTTGATTTAATCCTTGTTAAAATTAGGTTGGCTTATCTCATATCATCCTAATATTTTTTGGATGAAAATTGATGGATTATTTTTCTAATCTTTTATTAAAAAAGAAAAAAGCTTTTTTTAGGCTGATTGGTTTGGAAAAGGTTATTTTTTAATTTTATTTTTTTCTTTTTGTTTTTTGTGACTGGTTTAAAGAAAGTTGATCATAGTTTAATAGTGATTTAAAAATTATTTGAATCATGATTGAAGATGGCTTAAAGGTGGTCTGACTTTGATCTAAAGTTTACTTAAATATGTTAAATGTTGATTATATGATTTGGTCATGGTTTTGGAAATATTTCAAAAATGGTTCTAGTTTGAATGTAATTTGATTATGGCTCAACAATGGTTCAATGGTGATTTATTGTGTTTTGATTGAGAAATTTGAATTATTTTATAAGGTATATAAATGTATGCTCCTATCATTTCAGTAGAAATGTATTATGATGATTAAGAGTCTGTTTGGGGCAACTGTTGATTATTTATAATTTGTTGATAAGTTGATTATTCTGATAATCTGCAGATTCAGAATAAGTTGACTTGCTGTTTGAGACAGTTTATTCAGAACAGCTTATGGGAGCTATTGTTGAATAAATATCCATTCTGCCCTTGTTTGGTTAAACAATTTGCAACAAAACTGTTTATGAAAAATAATAGATAAATTTTGTTGTTGAATGAGCAAATGGGAGGCGTGATTGAAGAGGTAACTACACTTGTATATAGGTGACTAAAGTGGAATGTTGGATTTTTATCTTTTGGTTAGTATGCCTCTTTTTTCTATTAATTTCTCCTTGCATTTCTTTTTTTTTTTTTTTTTGAAAAAAAAAAGGTCATGATATTCTAATTTTAATTTTTTTAATTTTATATGTTATAGTAAATGTATTTATTTTTTTTAAAGTTATTTGTAAGTTGAAGGCATATAATGTGGGGCTTTTTTTGATTTAATCCTTGTTAAAATTAGGTTGGCTTATCTCATATCATCCTAATATTTTTTGGATGAAAATTGATGGATTATTTTTCTAATCTTTTATTAAAAAAGAAAAAAGCTTTTTTTAGGCTGATTGGTTTGGAAAAGGTTATTTTTTAATTTTATTTTTTTCTTTTTGTTTTTTGTGACTGGTTTAAAGAAAGTTGATCAAAGTTTAATAGTGATTTAAAAATTATTTGAATCATGATTGAAGATGGCTTAAAGGTGGTCTGATTTTGATCTAAAGTTTACTTAAATATGTTAAATGTTGATTATATGATTTGGTCATGGTTTTGGAAATATTTCAAAAATGGTTCTAGTTTGAATGTAATTTGATTATGGCTCAACAATGGTTCAATGGTGATTTATTGTGTTTTGATTGAGAAATTTGAATTATTTTATAAGGTATATAAATGTATGCTCCTATCATTTCAGTAGAAATGTATTATGATGATTAAGAGTCTGTTTGGGGCAACTGTTGATTATTTATAATTTGTTGATAAGTTGATTATTCTGATAATCTGCAGATTCAGAATAAGTTGACTTGCTGTTTGAGACAGTTTATTCAAAACAGCTTATGGGAGCTATTGTTGAATAAATAACCATTCTGCCCTTGTTTGGTTAAACAATTTACAACAGAACTGTTTATGAAAAATAATAGATAAAACATGTCTCAAACTATTACAGTTCAGTTACAAGAATTAAAATACGTTGCTCACCACTTCGTGAGTATCAAAACAAATAAAATAAGAAGAAATATAATTACAATTACAAGTAAAAAAAATTAAAACGTTCAATTTAGAACTCTGACGTCGTCTGTCCTCAGCGGCACTGTCTTCTTGGGAAACCATCGTAACACGATCACTGTCGGCATGGGAGTATGTCAGAATGTCGACCCAACGAAAAAAACTGCATCTTGCTGAAACACTCCTCTGACAACCGTAGAACTGTCTCTTTAAAATCCTAGAGTTCACACTGCTACTGAGATAAAACAATCAAAAAATATAACTTGTCAGATCATAAAATTAAATTAAGTTTTATATATGAAAATAAAAGAAAATTCATACAAAAACTAAACAAAAATAAAATAAAACAAAATAAAACAAAAACTAAACAAAATAAAATAAATAATTTAAAACAAAATGCAAATTCATACTACAACGAATTACATTCCAAATGAAAGATACAAAATTCTTAATAAAACATTAAAATACAAATCCATACTGCATTGAATTACATCCCAAAAGAACATATAATAAATGAAGAAGTGTGGCTGAATCAATATCCAAATATAGCATCTATGATAGACTCTCTCAAAGCAGCCATCTCAGCTACACCCTCACCGTCCTGAGTTTCAAATTCAATCGAATCGATCTCATCCTCAGGTAATGATTGACCAACTTTGACCAACGAAAGATCCTGAAGGTTATGGAGAGTCAATAAGTTTATCGTCATCAGCCAAAGTGAAGTCCGTATCTGATTGAGAGGGATGTCGTCGGATGAAGTTGTGAAGTGTCATAGGGGCCACCACAATATGCACCTGTTTAGGAAATGGATACGACAACATTTCATGTAGGATAACCCATTTCTTCTTCCACACCCAAAATATTCTTTCAAAAACCCCACATAAATAGGAGTGTCTTTTGTTAAACATTTCTTTTATACCACAAATCGTGTCACTTGCTCGCTCAAAATCGGGAATATGATATCTGGTGTCTGCATAGGGCTTCAGGTAGTCCCTTAGCATCGAATATCCAGCATCAACAAAATAATACTTCCCTATTATGAAGGACAATATTAATTAAAAACAATAAATGTAATTTATAGGTTTAAGTGAGATGAACAAACCTGGAGGTGGGTGAGGGAAATACTGTGTTATATTCCTAGTTTCATAGAAAAAAAACGACTGTCATGTGCACTTCCTTCCCACCTCGCCATTACAAATGTGAAGCACATGTTGAAGTCACACACTGCCATAACTGCCATAACATTTTGAGTACTTGCACAACTCCGACCAATGTACGTGATCTTTTCGTGGCTTGGTAGTTGGGCATCCACATGCATACCATCGATTGCTCCAATGCAGTTCTGTTACTCATAGTTAGCAATTCAACAGGTTATGAAGTTAAAGTAACAAACTAATAAAACTTACTTTGAAATACGACATGTAACGGGGATCATTTGCAATTTATTTAGGAATAGTTGCGAATGATGGATCTGATGATTTAATGTTTTGCGCTGCTAAACTCACAAGTGCTTGTATACCTTTGGAGAAGTATCGACTAATTGTCTCTGAGAAATGTTTAAATCGCTCCATAGCTCCTCTAATTGATTCATTATGTGAGAGAATGTATAATGTTATAGCCAACACCTCTCTCGTGGTCGTTCTAGAAGAACCTTGGATGCCGTGATTACGACATAACTAGTGTAGAAGATCCATAAAAAAAGGGCGCAGTCATTCGAAAAATGCTGCTGAACCTTATCGGATGCCCAACAAGTATCTCACTCACCCATTTGTCACCAACATATGAGGATGTCATGTGTGGTATCCGTCTAGTGCTGGAGCGGTAGTATTCCAACAATAATATCGCTATAGCTGTAGCTCATGTCCTTCTTTTACGACATTATTGATGTGGATCCATCCTGAAATTAGAAATGCATTAGGATGAAATAATTTATGGCAAAGTGGTGGCAATAAAATGAAACAGTAAAAATATGAAGGAGTACAAAGCATCAGAAAAAGAATTATATAAATTGTTCAGGAGTATAAAGCATCAGGAAATGAAATACATAAAATGAAATACATCTAGTGACTTAGACATCTTGAAACTATAGGAAAAAAAAAGGAAAATAAGTACTTTCTAAATGTGTAAAACAAATAGCCCAACTTCATCCAGATCAATTCCACAACTTATAAAATAATCCTTTGCAATTTCAAGAAAGAACAAATTATAAATAAACACCGACAGCCAACATTATTTCCATAACGTTGCAATTTACAAATAAAAAAAAAACAAGTAAACGAGAGATTTATGTGGTTCGACCAATGACCTACATCCACAAGAAGACAATCCACGAAAGTTTTATTGAGCAAATCTGTAAGATTACATATGTATGAATCTTAATTGAAGTTTACTACAACATGCTCTTAACTAAACAAGCTCCATACATAGTACTAAAATTCTTCCATCCTCTCACAAAAAAATAGGAACCGAAAACAGATTCATCTGGTACTCAAACTGCAGCAATTACAACTGCAGAATATCGAATGCAACCCAACAAGCAAATAAACTCCAACATCTCTGTTTAGCTAAACCACAAACTGAATTTTGTTTAGTAATCAAGCTGTACTTTATAACTACTAATAAAAACATAACTTAAAAAATCTGCCTTTCATATGATTGAAGCAAATAAACCCCAACATCTTTTCCATATGATTGAAGAAAACACAAGCCTACACCAAGGGAAACGAAAAAGCCCCTTTTGTTCTTGATGGCCACAAGGGAAATGAAACATATGTACTCCATATATGAGCTCTTTTCTATCTATTTTTCAGCCTTAAAATGATAAAGGAACATAGCTGTAAAAAATAAACGCCAACATCTCTTTTATAGTTGTTTTTAAAAAACTTGTGCATATTTCTCGAATCAGAAAAAAAAATCCAAAATTTCAAAAACTTGTGCTATTTTATGCAACAATGCCAAACTAATATTGCCAAATTTAACCGCATTCTAGCAAATTCTTTATAAAACTGACAAAATGAGAATGGCAATAACTACTACATCCCATA